CGAGAACTTTTACCAAGCACCGATATTCTCAAGAAATTCCAGAGAACTTCTAAGAAATTTATTTATTTTTCAATTGATTCATTATATTCAGTGAAGTTCCGAGTACTTCGAGGACGATCATCACTTAAGGGGGTAGTCCACTCTGGCGGCATGAAAAATAGGTCATTTTCACGAATTTTTTTGAGGGTAAATAACGATCAATTAAAAAAAAAGGAATACAGCGCCCGCCAATTTTGAAAACATCGTTTAGAGATAATCGCGGCAGCAGTTGGGACTACTAGGACACGCCGTTTCGCCGGTAACGGGCGGGTACTCCGAGCGCTCACCTGAGCGCGCTTGGAGCGTCTGGACACGAGTCCACTAATCGGCCTATAACTTTGGAACAATGTCACTTGCGGACTTGCGGTCAAGTCTATGTCAAAGTAGACATTCCAAAGTATTTTTTAAGCCAAAAAAAAAGATTTTTTTAAATTTCCAGAGTGGACTACCCCCTAAGGAAATTTGCAGCAACTTACAAGGAGTTCCTTAGAATAATTGTATGATTGATCCGAAAACTTTAGAAGCTTCAGGGAATTATAAATATGTATCAGAAAATTTACCGGATTATTTGATCATTTTAGAGAAATTAAGGTAAGCATAGAAAACTTCTGGGATGTCCAGGCTTTGCAGGGAAAATTAGTGATTTCAGTTAAAGTACCGTAAGCGTTTATAAACTTTATAAAATTTAAGGAAAATTGTTTAACTTTAAGGCAATTAAATCAATTCCAGTAAAATGGTGGGTTCTTTTAAAAAAATACTCAGATATTCAGGCAGTCTACAGAATTTTAAGGAAATTGAGAAAGGGGCCTCCCTTAGCTCAGTCGGTAAAAGCGCAGCTACAAAGCAAGACCATGCTGGAGGTGGCTGGGTTCGATTCCCGGTCCGGTCTAAGAATTTTCCGGGTTGGAAAATGTTTCAACTTCCCTGGGCATGGAGTAGGATTGTACTTTCCACACAATTATACTAATGCAGAAATGGTAAAGGCATCGAAAGCTCTCAATTAATAACTGTGGAAGTGCATCTAGAACACTAAGTTGAGATCACGCAATAAGCTAATATGCTATATGCAATAAGCTTGAAATGCGAAGAAGAAGAAGAAGAGAAATATTTTAGGCAGTTTTAGAAACATCAGGAAACTCTAGACTATTGAAGAAGTTATGAATTAGTTTCGATAATTTGAACTTTAGACAAATCTTGAGAACTACAGTGAAAATCATAGAACTATTTTGATTATTTGCTGCGGAAGCTTAGAGAAGTTTCTTAATTTCAGAATATCTTCAAAAACTTCATAGAAGTACAGAGATCTTCAGAAACTTTTCGAGAATTTCATAAAAGTCTATAAAACTTAAGGGGAGATCCGAGAATTTCAAAAACTTTTATGGACATTTCGGGAGCATCTCAAAAAAGTTTAGTAAAGCTCAAAAACAAAGGAAACTTCAGCCCGTTCCATTAGTTTCACTAAATTAGCGGGAAATTTCAAAAAGTTCCCAGATTTTCAGATAACTTTAGAGATGTTAAGAAAGTTATTGAGGTTTTCACATAAGTCCAGAAGTTCACGCAAGCATGAACATTTTTAGAACAGTTCAATTAAATTCATGGTTGTACCACCGACAAACCGACATGAATGACCGCACAAAGTACCATCAAATTTCCGATCAAAGCACAGAACTGACATCTGCCGCCGTGTTTGCGAAAAAATCCGTACCCTAGCCACGAACACGCATACAAAATGAGTTGGGTTTGCATCTAATCTATTCCGTGCAAATTAGTTTTATAAAGATTATTAATTTCTATGGTTCTATGGGCAGATGGGATCGCTGCACATTCGAATACGCCGTTAAGGATTCTCGATCAAGAGTTAAGTTAAATTTTCATGCCGGTTTGTCGGTGGTTGTACAACAAGCTGCATGAGAACTGCAAACACTTAAGAGAAGTTTTGAGAGCTTCGAGAAAGATATTGATCTCGCTAATAAAGCTCTATACAAAAAAAAAACACTCCAAGAAAGAACATATATCCTCAGAGCACAGATATTCCAGAGCAGGGAAATTACATAAATTTTATAAAGTTTCGAGCAATTCAGGTACTTTTTAAAATTTTAGAGAAGATTTCTGATTGTTAAGAAAATTGTGGAAACTTTAGGAAGTCCGAAAAAGTTTAGAGAAGTTAAAAGTTATGAGAAGTATTGCGAGCACCAGACTAGTTTCTCAAACTACAAAAGAACTTCAAGGCAGTTTCATTAACGTTAGGAATATTTTGGGAACTTTCAAGTAGTTCTGAAGAGCTCAGAATAGTTCATTCCATATTCAACGGAGATTTTTCATGAAAATTCGCTTGGAGTTTCCTATCTTAGGCTTAGGCTTCACATGAAGTCTAAAATTCCTCAGAACTACCATGAAAGCAGATTGCAGTTGATGTTTTTCTCATAGATTTTTTTCCCAGAACTCCCGTAAAATAAGATCCTAAGAAATTATAATAAAATTCCATTAGCCTTAAAACTGTGAAAGGAATTTGAAACCAGATTCTTGAAAATTTCTTGAAGTATTATAACTTTTCAGTTAAGAATTTATAAAATTTGTGAGAAATATGCATATTCTAGAACCAAAAAAAAAAAAATCATGAGGCTTCTGAATTAAAAAAAAAATGTATTTGTTACTGAAGATTAATCCATTCTAGTTCTATAAAGTTCAATGTGTGAATGAAAATAACTAGGAATATTAAATGTTTAATTTTAAAATGTATTCTTAGTAAGAAAATTATTAAAAATATAAACAATAAACAATAAAATTCCATGAGAATTCCCGGTTTTTCGACAAATTTTCTACGCTTAAGTCACTTTTTAGTCACTTTTTTACAACCATAAGTCACTTTTAGGACACTTATTTCTTCAACATGGTCACTAAAATCACTATTTTCGATAGCATTGATCGCTACCAGCCCTGCGAATGGAAAATTGTCAAATCATTCACAATTTCACTTGCTCTATATCCAGAGGATCAACCAGTTCTCTCACTCCAGTGTTCTCTGGAGTGAGCTTCTGTGAGTTCACTGCAGAGTGTTCTTGAGCTCTTTTGTCGCTCACTAATTCCCACCAGTGTAGAGTGATCTAATCTCACCGCGTAGTTCATTCCAAAAACTACACACACAGTAAGGGTGTATTGAATAATATACTGCATGTAGTGCTCTTTCTAGAACGAACAGAGCGAGAAGATTAGAATGTTCGCTCTTGTCTCTCACACACAGCAAAAAAACAATGTTGATATCGCATCAAAGTGGATGCACTTCAATCGTGTCAAAAATATGGGGTAATATTACTTTCGAAAAAGGATAAAATTATCATTAATACACTGCATGAACTGACATTACGCTGCTTTTTCTGCATTTGTTTATTTTTGTGGCCATAAAAATTACATGAGATTTTCGACATAGTTGAAGTGCATTCTCTTGGATGTAATATTAAAATTTATTTTTTGCTGTGCAGAGGAGAATGACAAGTATGTGTAGTAGTAATATAAATGGTATTTTTAAGCAATGAAATCAGTTTTTTATCTGTCGCGGATTAGTATTTAAGTCGCGGATTTCTTTTTTTGAAGATCTAGTAACTGCGGTTTGGCACGGTGACGCATGCATTCTATGAATTTTACTAATAGATTTAGAAAGTGATGATTTAGGAATATAAGAAGAAGTAGAAGCAAGTCGACTGATGGTTAGTTTCCTCTTAACACAAGAAACAATATTTGAGTTATTTTAAATCATTTCTTGAGAAAAAAATAACAAGAAAAGTGTACTAAAAAAAATCAAACATTTGACCAAAAGGTTTGCATTTTTCGTGATTTTTTTTTTTATTTTTTTATTTCACGAGGATATTTTGAATTTTTAACACTATTTTTACTAAAAATTACAAAAAAAAATGATTGCCTTGTATTTTTTCCTCAAAAGGCTTTCTTTTTTCTTTGTCATTTCGATTAGAAGTGACGTTTACGTTGTACAATATATTGAAAAATGTCAAAGACGCCATTTTGGAAAAATATGTGGGATCCAAAATGGCCGAATTTTAGCAAAAATGTAAATGATTGCCGATAACAAACAATTATGCAAAGTTTCATGCAAATTGGAGAAGGTCGAGCCAAAAATTCATAAAAAATTCTGGAGCAGCCCAAATATGAAATTAAATTCCCATCAAACCTTGTATTTTAGATGTTATTGGGACCATAAACAATCGCCAGGTTTAAACTTAATCAACTGTAAGTTTTACAAATGCGCTATTGGAATTATCCAATTAATTAATGGTGATCAACTGACTCTCATTCTATCAACTTCAATCAATTCTCCAGCGCTCAATTTTAATTAAATTGATTTGAAAATTTGGAAAAATCTTAGTTGAAGTAGGAATAATGTAAGATGTTTAAAAAAACAAATATCTGATACCCGGAAACTGTGCCAAGGTCTCTCATTTCATAGACACGCATTATAGCCTATGATAAATTCATATTTCATTAGATCACAACCACAATGTGTCACAAACTAACGTCATTACAAAAAATATTCTTTTCCACAATTGTGGAAACGATGCACATCATCATCGCTTCAACAACATGACATCATTTTCAACACCACCGTTGGAGAACACACATGGTACCCGCCCTGAGACAGGCCTCTGCCAAATGTTGACACAACCGCCACACGATCCCAAAGTCTTTTGACTATAATGCAATGTATGTGATCAGAACGTATAGCGCTGTACAATCAAATGACATAATCCCCGTTGCTTCTGTCGGTGCGAAGTTTGTTTATATTTTTTCTGATACTGGAAATGGTGGTAGCAAATATAATCATATTTTATTCCCAGCATGCAAATATAAATATTTACATAGAAGCGTTTTTTTTTTTGCGTCAATGATGTAATAGGAACAAATTCAAAATGTGTTCGTCCAGGCATCTATTTTAGTTTCACCGAACTTACCCTGGCTGGTTCTTGTAGATGATCTGCCCGACCCGGTGGTTCTTCATCGGGATGTGGGCCGTCTCGGGCCGGGTGTCGCAGAGGAAGCATTTCTTCTCCTCGAGATGGGACACGATACAGTAGCGCTCGGGTCGCTCCGAACCGCAGGTCGACGACGCATACAGGCGATTCTCGCGACCGATCAGCAGATTGCCCGTCGCCGGGTAGCAACTGCTCTGCTCGCACGGATGAACACGATGGACAGGCCTATGTGGTACTGTTATCGCGGCAGCAGTTCAACATAAAGGAGACGCGCGTAGTTCGTGGGAAAGAAAGAAAGAGACGGATTTAGGTAAGTTTGAAGGAAATTTAGTTCAAATATAAAGTTTGGCTGCCGCCGTAGACTGGTTCGTATGTGGTTATGCTCAAACGCACGCTTCTTTTGGTTGTTTTACTCCACAAACCAGCCTAAAACGGCAACGGTGATGAGAGATGTGTTGATGCTCAAATCTCGTAGGTCTGCGGTTTGCGCGCTTATAGTACACTAGGCTAAAACTGGAACCAATGCGTAAAGGCGAGGATGATGATTTGAAATGGATGGATGGTTGGTTGGTGTGCGAAGGGAGAAACTCCGAATGTAAACATACACGAAACGTCTAAAATTAACATTAGCATATGGAAGTGGCGGTACGCAAAGGCAGGTTCGATATGAAGGATTGATTCACATGTGCGGCTCTGCCATGCCGGGGCACACATGATGGGAATTTAGATTAGGTGGAAGCATGTTGAATACAGATATAGCGAGAGAAGCATTACGGATTAATGTCAAACAACGAGCATTGTTAGCAGGTTCCAGAGGCAGAGGGACAAATTCATCGATGACAGCAGAAACTTGTTGTTGTTGTTGTAGGGGTTCCACTTGTTCGTGGGTGTGCTGCTGCTTCGAAGCTTATGTTAATGCTGGCTGCTCTACGAGTGAGATATTCTACTGTGGCAAAGTTCCCCCAGAAAGGCTCCCCGATGCAGTTTGGCGTTTGTGTAGGCCTATGGACTGTCGTGAATGCGTGGTTTGCTGCATGAGACTTTGGTTTTTGGTCCCAAACTAGGAAAGGAAGCAAAATTAGCGCAGAGCTGCGGTATGACCAGATCTTTTACACCAACAACGGTCACGAAGCGGGTGTAAGTGTGCTTAGGTTCAGTAGTAGTTGGCCGGCTACGGACGGCTAGTGGCTGCTGGCTGGAGTGTTTAGTTCGGATGGTATTTTGTTCGCTTTTTCTTGCTTTTTGGTGGAGCACCACATATACTAGGCCGTGCATGATGTTTGGCCAGCGAGAAACGATGATGCAATTTGACATCATGTGCTAATTGAAGAAATACGTTCGAGGTTTGAGGTCAGCGGACGGTTTTGGCTTAATTGGTCAATGTGAGGCTAGGTTTTGAGTTGAGCTACTAGTTGAATACTTTTTTTTATTGATTTACCATGCCATTTAGAAAAAAATGCTGAATTCAATCTAGAACTTTCGGTGGCTTCTGACTGAAGCCAAGCAGTAGAATAATTACATTTTGTGGGGCCACCTAATGTTGGCTTAAAAGCTCATCCAGGTGGTGGTGGTTTTTTACAGAGGTGGTGGTATTTTACGTGTTTTACGAATTGAGGGTGTCGACTACCCCAAGGAATTTTAGTCCTGGAAAATCAGGGAATCTCCGAGAATTTCTTTAAAAATCAGGGAAATATTTCTTAATCCTCTCTGAACAGTATTACTGACCTCGCTAGTCTCATACAATTTAATTACTCGGTGTTGTTTTAGGATGTTTGTAAATTAATAAAATCTTAATAGAATTGTGAGCTTGTGGGTGCTCAAATAAATTATTTGAATTGCTTAAACAAAGAACATAGTCTTCTCCAGCTGCTAAAATTACAGATACATTACTGTAAGAACTGTCAAAATCCTATGAATTTACACGCTAGTGTTCGTCAGATTCTGCTTGGCGAACTGAATTTGGATTATTTTGGACCGTCCCTAGTTGAAGTGGGATCCAGAGGAACAGTAAAAATCCAGTTACATCTTTTAGTTATACATTGTTGGTTGTGACAAAATTCACGCTACAAGCGGATTAGCGGGTGGCGCTGTATTCAGTTCGGTCCAACAAACCTCTGAAAATGGGTTGGAGCGTCTTTGTGTAAATGGAAGAATAGCAAAGAGATAAGAGATATATGTTTGAATACTTGTAGTTCTAGTTCCCCATTGTGTGCTTAATTATGATCCTGCTTGGATGGATGAATTTTTCTTCAAGCAGATTATGATTTAATATTGAACTCAGGATCACATGGACCAAAATTTCTAATTTTGTGAAAGCACACCTCTGAATATCAAGTTTTCGATTATGGTGATGGAAAGAAAGTGGGGGGCAATCCCAAGTAACCAACAAGCCTGCTAAATAGTAATCCGACTAACAATGTTCCGAAGCCCTGTATTAGCCGTATGTTAGCTAAATATAGCAAAATCAATCTAAATTAGCGGGGTTATTCGTTACCTCCCAAGTAACAATGTGGGTTTTATGAGGGTTCTGTAGACCATGATATAGACCTCAATAAAACTTGCAATGTTGGTTGGGCCGGGATATGCATTACGTGCTTGTGAACGATTTCCCACCGGAGGTATCCCGCTGCGATCAAGCGTTTGGTTAAACGTGTTATCCATAACAAGTGTTCAACGGAGATGGTATGGGCATTGAAGTGTGCATGGGGAATATATTTTATAGCGAGGGAATAAAGACAAGTGTTTCATATGCAGAAATATCCCTAACGGAAAGTCCAGAAACAGTCAGAAAATAACTAATAAGGGTGCGGAAATTGACATTGGAGAGGAAATGGAGTAAATTGAGGAAAGAAGGGGATCATGAACTTGTTGAAAACTTTCTGGCGATCAAGCTCGTGATGAAAATATATTTATATATGATTGATATAAAAATGATTTCAGTTTCATTCCTACATCATTATTAATCACAGTAACACTTTGATTACTGCTTCAACCCGAGCATGAAAAAATAACTTATTAATACCAAATTCAGGTATGAAAATAGCATAACTGGCAACCTAAGTATGGTATGAGTGAGGCTGACATAAGAGGTAAAATACCAAAAATACTACCTCCAAAATATTCTACGAATAACTAACTAATAAATAATGTAGTTATTACAATAACAAACGGATAACATACGCTTTTTTAGATGCCAGAATACCATAGTTTGTTATTTTAAAGGTCTTATAATACCAGTTCAATCACTCTTTTAGATGTTATTGTCTAAAAACTGAAAGATCACATTTTGTTATTTTGGTATTCATTTGATATTTTACAAAATATTTCGATAACTGAATAGTATCAAAACAAGGTTTTATACCACAAGCCTACCAAAATCTGGTATCATACCACATTAAGGTATTCATTTGTTATTGATTATCTATCGGTTCCTGCTCGGGAAGTGATTACCTGGCTCATAACATGTCTTAAGACTGTAATTTTTTTTTCTGAAAACCCACGTCTGTTTAGTGACAAGTGTGCTGCTAGGGATTCACGCAAACGGTTTTAAGACTTGACAATCAGTTTTGTTGAAGTTTAACACTTACTTAATTCTACTAAGTACAAGATCTCAAAATATCCAATGTCTCGAAGTTTCGTTTTCCGTGTACAAGTTCAAGATATTGAAAATTTTCAATGTGCCAGAATTAAGGAAATGTAATTAACTTTATGAAAGATTAGAGATCTTCATTGAAGTCCGATTAACTTCACAACAATTGTAGGAACTTTACAGATGTCCTGAAGAATGAAAGAATGAGAATTTTAATGAAGCTTCATAAACAAACTGTGGAAACATAAGGGAAGTTAACCTCTTGAAAATATGGGGAACTTACTGGGAGCTTTAAGAACCTCCAAGCGGTTCTATTAGCTTCCAAAAAACTGCAGGAACTTTACAAAAGTTCCTAGAATTTCAGACAACTTCACTGGTGTCAAGAGAACTTCCGAAGTATAGAGAACCTTGAGGAAAATTGTAGAAATTTTTAAGAAGTTCTAAGTATTTAAAAAAGCAAGATCTAGAGATCTTTGGGGAATTTCAGAGATCTAAGGGGTAGTTCCCGTTACTCTAGTCCAGACTTTTGGAGCAGTTTAAAGATCTATAAGAGTGAGTTTAAACGAATTCAGGATAGTTCCATGATGTGATGAATATAAACATCGAGAAACCCTTACGATGTTCCGAGAATTTCAGGGAAGTACAGAGACCTTAAGAGATTTTATGAATTTAGAAATATTTCAGTAACTTTACAGAAGTCCAGAGAATTTCAAAGACATTTATAGGTGTTTACGAGAATTACATTTATTTCAGATCAGAACCGAGATCTTCAATAGAATTGAGAGCTTCAGGGATCCTCCGAGAACATCAAAACAGATGAGATAATCAAAGGGCAGTACAAATAATTTCAAGGAAATTGCAGAAACCTTAAACAAGTTTCGAGAAACTCGGGGAATTTCCAGAAACTTCAGCGAAGTTCCGGAAGAATTTCAAAAGGCAATAAAAATTATATAAAGAACCGGACAATGTGATAGTTGTATTATGGGAATTACAAAAATTGCAAAAAAATTGCTAAGTTGATAAGAGAACATCAACAGGGTTCCATTAATTAAAAAAAAATGTGAGAATTTGTAGAGAAGAAATTTTGATATTTTTAGATAGTTTCATGATATTCGACGAAGTTCCGAGTACTTCAGAACAATCCCATGAGCTTAAGGAAATTTGCAGCGACTTACAAGAAGTTCCGTGGAATTATGGGATATTCCGAGAATTCTATGATTGATCCGAAAAGTTCAGAAGCATCAGGGAATTACGAATATATATCAGAAAATTTTCCGGAACATGTCCAGATAAGTTCAGGGAAAAATAGTGATTCAAGGCAAGTAAGCGTTTTTAAAAAATTTAAAACGTATTGAAAACTGTGGAAACTTCAAGGCAATTAAATTAAGTTCAGAAAAAATAGGGTTTTTATAGAAAACACTAAGATTTTAGGGCAGTCTTTGCAAGAACATTTAAAAATCTTTTGGACTGTTTTAACCTTTGCGTGCACAACGTCTAAATTTGCAGCAAAATTCAATTAGCTCTAAAAACATAATTTTTCAATCTTTTTCTGCACAAAAATTTGCATTTTGTCGGGAATCTATTCAAATTTTTGAATCCGTCAGGAAATATGTAGATCAAAACATGGTTCCAGAGTTATTCCGGTT